GTAAAGTTTTTATTTTTTAGGAACGGGGAGAAAGTACATTTTATTTTCCTTTATCGATCTCATTCTTCACAAAAAAAAATCAAAAAATCAAAAAATTACCCACATGATCCAGCTAGCTAGCTAGGGTTTGTGTGGAGTTGCCACGATGGTGCATTGCTACTTTTGGAGTCGTCTTTAGCGGATGACGTGGTCCATTATGATTGTTATTACTTTTGTGCACCGACCATATCTAAGGCCACGTACTTATCTTTGTATGCTCCAATACCCTAGTTTTGTTTATAAAATCTGCTTTTTATGATCCTTTGGGTTGCTTACTTTGATTCGCATTAAGAAATGTTTTTTTTTTTCTTAACGAAAATAGGTACGCAATAATATTACCATCTAGTAGTATATATGTTATGCGTGACAAAATAAAGGTATATATTATGTTGATGTAGTGTACATATGTATGGAATTATTTTGTATGAATGTTCAATTCTCATTCTTTAATCCTATAGAATAGCATTCTGAATCGGGTTTAATTTACCTATAAATATTATTTGTATAATCCAATTTATGTGGATTTTGAATCTTTGGACTAGATCTTTACGGACATAACATATGTTTAAATTGTTAACATGAAAATGAAAAAAAATGATATTAAAAAAAAATTGAAAATGATACAAACTGGTTTTAAGTTATAAATATAAGGGAGCAGTGGTAATTATACCAAAAAAATTTACAAAATTTGAAAAGTAACCTTTGTTTTGAAATTTTTGAAAAATAAGTTTTTGATTAAATTAAAAGACAAAAAATATCCGGATAAAGTTTTGAACATTTTAAAATTAAAAGAAAATCATTTTCGAAATTAATATTAATTTGTTTATCTAATATAATATTTTAAAGTTTTTTCAAAATAAAGTTATGAGAGGTTGTCATGTGTCATCTAATTTTTTTACTTTTGGCTTTTTATTTATTTATTAAAAAATGAATCAAATGTTTTTTTAATAATTTTATCAATTAGTTCTAACAATCTAATTAATATGAATTCTTATGTAAATTAATTCCAACAAATTACATGTAAGTGTCTTATGCAAATTTATGTAATTCT